TTTTTTTATTTTGAATTATTAATTTTTTTATTATTTATTTTATTAAGATTTTTGCATTGGATTTTGGCTTGCGCTTCTTTTTGATTATAATATATATAATGCATTGTATGTATTAAGGGGGGATAACAATAATAAAATAAAACCAATAACAAGTGAAAATTTAGGTAGAGTAAAGAAGGGAAAAATAGAAAGTAAGAAGGGGGGGGAAAGGTATGGGTATATACAGCAAGATTTTTATTATTATAATCAAGGGGGGGGAAGCGCTAAACCCGAAGGATTAACAGCGCCTGGGGGGGGATGTGGAAGCATTCAGGCTTAATTGGGGGAAATGGGCAAGATCCAAATTTCCTAAAAACAAAAGCCCCTCACCAAATCAAGGAACCCCGGGGGGGGCTAAACCCGTAGGGTTTTTGCGCCTGGGGGGGTGGGAAGGGATTTAGGCTTAATTTCGGGGAACTGGAGCACAATCCAATTCCCAATCAAGAGCCCCTCACCAACTCAAGGAAAACCCTTCCCTTTAGGGGCTAAACCCGGAGGTTATACGCCCCCTGGGGGGGGGTTTTTGGGAAAGGGATTTGGCCCCCCCCCAAAATTTGGGGAACTGGAGCACAGATCCAATTCCCTAAATCAAGGCCCTCACCAACTCAAGGCCTTTCCCCAGGGGATTACGCAAAAGGGTATATTCTTCCTCAGAGTATATATCCTAGATACTTTAATGCCCTATTTTAGAGATTAAAGATTCTCATTTTTGATTTAAAGTTTTCCCACAACCTTAATGACGCAGGTAGTCGATGGTTTTAAAATTCTCAAGCATCCATAAGTAGTGTTTACAACAACAACAATGGAAAGGTTTAGAGGAGGAAACTAGCTCAGCTGGCAGATTTACTACTTGAAAAGGCGACGAGAGAAAGACCCCTTTGTAAATATGCAGGTGGGAACAGCAGCAAGACTTGTTTGGGGAGCAACAAACTAAGTAGTGCCGGTGAGGCCCCTCAGATCCAAAGGGGTTTGGATCTGACCCTCCATTTGAAAAGAACCTGATAATCTTCCATTCCCTTCAGGCACTGATAACCTTAACAGAGTTTTCGCTCCATTTAGAATAATAATAATAGCGTTCTTATGGTTTAGCGCTCCCCATTTTTTGTAATAAAGCTTAGTTTAAACTTTACTGAACTTTGGCACTTTTCAGTTTACATTTCATGGAAACCCCTGTTTCACCATGGAGTAAGTACCGGTAATTATTTCTGTGTAAAATTGACGTTTGGGAGATAATAGTGAAAAAGTCCTTAGTACTGTGCTACTGGGCTGGCTCGTCTCTTTTAGTACGAACCTTGGGCAGTTTCTGGCCGAAAATTAAACAAAGAGCTAAACAACCCATGGCCGAGTAAGATTGTTACATTTGGGGATTTTTAGGGCTTTAGTTACCTATAACGCTAAGAACTGGTCATTTCCATTTTCATTAAATACAACCCCTTTCGCATGGATAAGGATTTCTTGTGCAATTTTTTATTCGAGGATATTTAAGTACAGTATTAACAAAAATCGGTAGATAAATAACAAAAAAAAAAGAAATACCTTGTGCGGGTTTGTGTGTAAAAAACGGTAGGTTTAGGTTAGTTTGGTTAATCAAGGTTTTGGTTAAGTAATGTTAGGTTAGGTTTAGGTTAGGTTTTTGGGTTTGGTTTTGGTTAGGAGGTTAGGGTTTCATAAATTAAAATGCCACTGTCTGTGTTTACACTGGGGCAGGTGGGAACATATCTTCGTGGCTAAAAAAATTAAATGTGTTATTTTTTCCCTTTTATCTTCCAAAACAAAAATCTGAACGAAAATGATTTCCCTTTTTCCACTCTTTACAAGGCTGTGTGTCTGAAAAGTACATACATAATGATTGAATTCCACTGAGTTTTCTGTAGTAACTATTTCCATTTTGGTTGGGGAAGTTTTGTTAAGTCGTGGAAATAAGAAAAATAAAAAAATACAAGCCAATGGGTGGCCCGGTGGCCCGGTGGCTAAAGTCCCGCCCTTTACACACGGAGGGGCCCCGGGTTCGATTCCGGCGGGGGAAACATTTCGACACGTTTCCTTCTACCTGTCCTGTTCACCTAGCAGCAAATAGGTACCTGGGTGTTTGACTGGTGTGGGTTGCATCCTGGGGGACAAGATTGAGGACCCCAATGGAAATAAGTTAGACAGTCCTTGATGACACACTGACTTTCTTGGGTTATCCTAGGTGGCTAACCCTCCAGGGTTAAAAATCCGAACGAAATCTTATCATAACAATTAATTCTGATCATAATCTAATCGAAGTCCAGACTTACATGCACAGGGGTCCTGATCAGCAAAATACACACAGCTATGAGGGTACCTTTACCAAATTCAACTTCAGCAACAAGAACATCAACTGGGACCAGGTAAACTATGCCCTAAATGAAACATGTTGAGAAGCTATCTTAAATTACATGGACCCTAACCAGTGCCTTGAAAAGATCAACCTCCTGTTAGCCGAAGTATGTTCAAGGCATATTCCCCTAAGAAAAAAGAAGAGAAGAAGTAAACTGAAGAGAAAGAGAGATGCTTCCTCTACAGGAGAAGATGAAGAATAACTGAGCTCCTCAAGAATGCCAGATTATCTGAAATGCAGAAGGAAGTGCTAACCAGGGAAGTGGAAAATATTGAGCTAAAGTTCAAGGACTCTTACAAGACCCAGGAGAGACAAGAGGAGCTAAAAGCAATTAGTGAAGTTGAAAGAAATTCGAAATATTTCTTTTCATATGCCAAAAACAAGGCAAAAACCACTTCTAGTATAGGGCCCCTGCTCAGACATGACGGATCCTACACAGATGACAACAAAGAAATGAGTGAGATACTGAAATCTCAATATGACTCTGTGTTCAGTGAGCCACTAATCAGTCTACAGATAGACAATCCAAACAATTTTTTCATGAATAACCCTCAAAACCCTGCCAATGTATGCCAAATTTCTGACATAACCACTAGACTGAGAAAGCCATTGATGACAAGCCCATGCACTCAGCATGGGCTTGTCGTCAATGTGTTCATTAAGAACTGCAAGAAACCCCTCTCACGGGCCCTAAGTATGCTATGGAGAAGGAGCATAGACACAGGTGAGATTCCACAGTCACTAAAAACAACGGATATAGCCACACTCCATAAAGGTGGCAACAAAACAGTATCTAAGAGCTGTAGTATAGACCAATAGCTTTAACGTTCTACATCATAAAAATCTTTGAAAGAGTTCTAAGAAGCAGGATAGCAAACCACTTGGACTCCCAAAAATTGTACAATCCAGAGCAACATGGTTTCAGAGCAGGTCGCTCCTGCCTCTCACAACTATTGGACCACTATGATATGGTCTTAGATGCACTGGAAAACAAACAAAATGCAGATGTAGTATACACAGATTTTGCAAAAGCCTTTGACAAGTACGATCATGGTGTAATAGCACACAAAATGTGTGCTAAAGAGATAACTGGCAAAGTAGGCAGATGGATCTTCAACTTTCTAACCAATCGAACAGAGAGTAGTGGTAAACAGAGTGAAATCGGAGGTTGCCATAGTGAAGAGCTCCATTCCACAAGGCACAGTACTTGCCCCTATCTTGTACCTCATTCTCATATCAGACATAGAGACGTAAGCCATAGCGCTATCATCCTTTACAGACGATACTAGAAATACTAGAAATACTTAGAAATACTCATTTGTGCTTAGTTGTTATTAGTTCGCTATAATTTTTACCACTGAATATATCATTGCTTAGTTAATCTTAAGTTAATTTTAAGCCTGCCCATAATGCATGTTACACTTAACCACTGTATTTCTTTGTACATCTATGTATCAAGTCCAAATTAATAATAAATAAATAAATAAATAAAATAAATAAATAAATCTGCATGAGTGTCATCCATTGAGGACATGGCAAATCTCCAAGAAGATATAAACCAAGTTTCCCAATGGGAAACGGAGAACAATATGATGTTCAATGAAGACAAATTCCAACTACTCCATTATGGAAAACTGGAGGAAATAATAGCTAGGACTGAGTATGCTATAAACTCTAATCACACAATAGAGCAGAAGAGTAATGCAAAGGACCTGGGTGTGGTAATGTCTGGAGATCTCAACTTCAAAGACCACAACAATGCCACTATCACATCTGTGAGGAAACTGATACGATGGATAATGAGAACTTTCAAGACAGATGCTAAGCCAATGATGATCCTTTTTAAATCACTTGTTCTCTCTAGGCTGGAATACTGCTGTACATTAACATCCCCATTCAAAGCAGGTGAAATTGCAGATCTAGAGAATATACAGAGAACCTTTACTGCATGTATAAGTTCCATCAAACACCTTAACTACTGGGAATGCCTGGAAGCACTTGACTTGTACTCACTGGAGCGCAGGCGAGAGAGATATATCATAATCTACACCTGGAAGATTATGGAGTGACTGGTCCCTAATCTGCACACAGAAATCACTCCCTAGAAAAGCAAAAGACTTGGCAGGTGATTCAACATACCCCGAGTGAAAAGTAGGGGTGCCACTGATACACTACGAGAAAACACAATAAGTGTCCGGGGCCCAAGACTGTTCAACAGCCTCCCACCATCCATAAGTGGCATTACCAATAGACCCCTGGTTGTCTTCAAGAGGGAGCTGGACAGATACCTAAAGTCATTGCCAGATCAGCTGGGCTGTGGTTCGTACGTTGGACTGCGTGCGGCCAGCAGTAACAGCCTCATTGATCAGGCCCTGATCCACCTGCAGGCCTGGTCGTAGATCCCCGGAATACCCTCCAGGTAGACTCCAAGTATTCCAACATTAAACATAAACTAGTAAAATGTTACATGCCAGTGTTACAATATGGTTGAAGCTAAATTGCAGATAAAGGTTTGTATAATTCATAAATACATCAAGCTAATTATTTTGAAAGCCTACTGAAATGAGCTAATGACACATGCTACAATATATAAATATTGTATTACAGTCGACCTGTGGGTGTATGTTGGTGTTGGAGTCTTGGGAGGCAAAGAGTGGAGACATCTTGTCGTGTTGTGATTCTTCAACATCCACATGAGGAAAAACGTTGCCTTCGTACTGCTCCAATTCTACAGGCCGCTCTTCCTAAGGGAGCTTATGTGGAAGTAAAAGGAAAAAGATTTCCATTTTCAAGGTACAGTACTATACAGTAATTCAAGATAAGATAAGGTTGGTGACTGAGTTTGGAAGGGTATGTAGAAGAAGGAAATTAAAAGTAAACATAGGAAAGAGTAAGGTGATGAGGATAACAAAAAAATTAGGTGATGAAAGATTGGATATCAGATTGGGGGAAGGGAGTATGGAAGAAGTGAATGTATTCAGATATTTGGGAGTGGACTTGTCAGCAGATGGTTCTATGAAAGACAAGGTGAATCATAGAATTGATTAAAGGAAAAAGGTGAGTACAACCTCTCCTCACTTAGTGATGTATTTCTTTACCGACCACTCAGACTTACGATTGGCTCTCCAACTAGTATCCAAACCTAAATAATGTGTATTAGAGCTGATTTCCTCTATTCTGTTTATTACAATATACCCTTCAAAATTCTAAACAGAAAATAGTTTACTTTAAAATATTAATTTTGGAAATTGAAGAAAAAGTATTTGCTTTTTTTCTGACTTTTATTAAAACTATTTCAATTATTTAATCCTTTCGTACTAAAATAACTTAAAACTCCTTAGAAGATAGAAACATTTGTAACTCTTCTGGAGTGTAAAATTTTAGGCTACATTCAAATTCGTGAAGGTCCAAATAAGTTAGGTATTTTAGGATTACTTCAGCCTTTTTCGGATGCTGTAAAATTGTTTATAAAAGAGCAGAATTTGCCGGTAATATCTAATTTTTTACCTTATTATTTATCGCCGGTATTTGGTTTATTTGTTGCTTTAATTAATTACCCTTTTAACAGATTTACTCCTAGAGTGGTTATTTAGTTTATTTAAAACAAATGTTTTGAAAACATTTAAAGGAAGTTTTTTCCAATATCCACCAATATATAAATTTAGTTTATACTAAAATTAATTTTATTCGATTTACAGGATTATTTTTTCTCCTAATCCTTCTCTTCGGCCTCTGTTATGAATGATATAAAGTACAGAACACTACTCTATAAACATTTAAAAATATACCATAAATGGTGCAAATTTGGCATAAAAATAATATCTAAAGATGGTGCACAAACCCCCTACCAGTATAGTATGCATCTTGCTTAAAGACCAATTCACTTACCAAACTACTCTTAGGAACGGAACCCCGTCATTAAGTGAGGAGAGGCTGTAGTGCATTGAGAAGTCTGTGGAGACAAAGACCATTATTTATGGAAGCAAAGAGGGGAATTATGAGAGTATAGTTATACCAACGCACTTATGTGGGTGTGAAGCATGGGTGGTGAACATTGCAACAAGGAGAAGGCTGGAGGTAGTGGAGATGTCATGTCTGAGGGCAATGTGCGGTGTGAATATAATGCAGAGAATCTGTAGTTTGGAAATTAGGAGGAGGTGGGGGTTACTAAAAGTATTATCCAGAGGGCTGAGGAGGGGTTGTTGAGGTGGTTCGGACATATAGAGAGGATGGAACCAAATAGAACGACTTGGAGTGACTTAATTAGAGAAGAAGAGATACACTACATACACAGAGCTAGTAAATAGATATAAAACATGAAAAACAGTGAAAGAATAATAATTAAGTATGCATTAATATCCATTGAGAGAGTTTTAGGTTTAAATTTTACCTGTTAGTGAGGGAATGAGAAATTAATCAGAAGACATTATGGTAGAATGAAAACCCGTTTTCAAGATAACAATTCACTTGGAGAGCAAGCTTTTTCAAATTAGAGTACATAATAAGCATACAGTAAGTATTATATACAATATAGTCAGGAGAGGAAGTGTTGAGGAAGCATGAGGTACAAACCTGTCTGTATCAGGTCAGAAGAGTAGTGCTTGCTGAGGGGCATGCAAAATGGGAATCCTACCAACTGGAAATTCCTTTAGTTATGGGTGATGGTATCTGGTATGAAGGAGAGCCAATTCAAGGCATTTCTGTTCCTGTCATTTTCTTGGATGACCTTGCTCATACTGAGCCAGTTCACGTGGTGTGAGACTGTGCTACAATGTACATCAGTCATTGTTGATGTTGGTGCATCTGGCATATTTTTCATATATCCTTGTAGACAAATCCTAGCTGTCTCACACACACATACTTTATCACATCTTTTTATTATAAGGGATGGTGTAGATGATAATGACAGTGATAATCTGCTTCTAAACTTTCAACATACAATTAATTTATAACTTGGGAACAATTGTTGAATTAGGTTGATTTACATGAATGATATAGTTGGCAATCTTTAACATTGAATACAGCAGTTTGGTTTATGGTTTATGACATTTTGGGATTTTTTATAACAATTTGGTGTAACATTTGTAGTGTTGAATACTGAAATGCAGATGCTTACATTTTCCTTGAAATTGACATTAACCCTTGTAGAGATAGTAATGTCTTTAATTGTAGAGGTGATTGTGGCATTGGTGTAACTGGCTTTCTCAGGTAACCTAAAAGCATTCTAAGGTTCAGTGGAAGTAGCATATACGTATTATAAAATATTGACTCCCAGAGTGTCAAGTATTTTCTGAGCTTTCCTACAGTCCTACATGACAGCAACAGAAAAATGTATATGGCGGAAGATCTCTCTGATTTTGAGGCACTTTTTTTCTAGGAAATTGAGGTTATACATTCAGAAAACCTTCATAAGAAACCCAGAAGAACATTTCTTTTAATTCTCATGAGATGCTGAGATCAGAAATGAATGAGAGCATTGTAGTCGATGAGCTTGTGATAAACACTAAATTGTAGTGTTTATGTGTACAAGGATATCAGGGAAGGAGGAGTGTTGTTTTTCTATTCTAAGGTGACCTGAATGTAAGGCTCAGTAGTATTGACATCATCTCTGTAACTTATTTCAATGTTTTGCAGAGTATTATGCCTTGAAACATTTGTAATACATGAGTATTCCTTGTATATTCTATGTGGAGCACTATCAGGCTATTCACTTTCCCATGTTTGAAGTATTAAAACATGCAGGGGGCATTATGAGGAAAAAAAGATGAGGGAGCTTAAAGTGTGTCTACTCTGGTTTGTATGCATTCTGACAATATGCTTTAGAATCTGGACTTAGTTCATATTTCTTTTATTAATTTGTTCCTGCAGGTGGAGAAGTTTCACATCTGGAGTGCCCCAACAATGGCAAAAGGACTAGAATAACTGAGGTTGAAGTCCCCTTTTTGTTGAAAGAGGATAATCCCTCAAAGTTGTCCATCATAGTGGTTTAGATACTCCTGTAGCCAGGATAATTCCAGATGAATCTAGTGCAGGTGACAAAATGTATAGACCTTTGAGGCCAGATTCAAGAAAGTTAACCAAGAGAGAGAATTCATCTTCTGTATTGTGTAGAAAGCACTAGTGTTATCTGAAAAGACACTCATGGTGCTCTTTCAGTGTTATGTGAGGGACTCTTAACTATTCTTTTAATAAGCAGTTATAATAAAACTATGTTACTATTTTTTCATCTTAGATTCCCACAGTTGGAGGACATTTTTACCAATGAGAACTCAATACTCATGTATCCAGGAGAGAAAGCTATCAGTTTAGAGGAGTTGCCACATGTAGGGAAGGACCAGCCTCCATACAACATCATCATTATTGATGGCACCTGGCAGCAGGCAAAATCTATGTACCATAACTGCTGCCACCTACACTCCCTCAGACAAGTGAGATAAATATTATATATTAGAAATATTAATAATACAGTAGATCATCGATTATCCAGCTGAAAAGGAATGTACAACCAAAAAGGTACCATAAAAATGTGTAATCTGGTGTCGTGAGAATTCATCGCACTCTTTTCCTCCAAGAGTGTTGGATAATTAATGATCTACTCAATTTGCAACAGATTTAAATGCCATTTTGTAAACAAAATGGACTCAGTTTTGACTAGATAGTGAAGAGCCAACAGTTAATAATAATCTTGGGTCACCCAAGTCATCAATACCATGCCGAGGTGAATATTAGTACAAGGGTAAACTTGTGAAAAATAAAATGTTCTAGTGTTCATGTTAATATGAAATAAAAGCCATTTTACAATGAAGCAATGAATCCTTAATTTTATTATTTAAAATAATAAAAAAAAAATTATACCTGTATTATAATGAATCTTATTACTGGGGCAGGAACAAGTTGTCAGAAGTCCACAAATTAGAAATGAAAACTGGACAGCTGAAACTTTATCCAGCTTTCAAATTAATTTTTTTGGGGGGTATTATTCATTGTTTGTAATGATTTGTTATATGATGATCTGGATTAACTAGCCTTTCTTTGTTTGATTTTAACATAAAATGGTTGTATTGGAAGATCTAAGGGTGACACTTTCTCACAGGTAGCATGTGTTTTAATTATTGTGAGATTTTCTGTTATTCCTGTTCAATTCTGAACTGACAGAGTGGAACAAGTGCACTAGCCACAGTACTGTTAACAAATTTATAGCCCTTATCATTTGGAAATAGAGAGCCTTATCAAATGTCAGAAAGAGCCAAGAGCAATCACTGTACTTTTGACTGTGAATATCAGTTATTGCCATTTTCTTTTGTAAATTCGTACATTTGTTTAACCCTTTCAGGGTCCGTCCCGTAGATCTACGGCTTTACGGTGAGTGTCCAAACCGTAGATCTACGCCATGAGCTCAGCTCACTCTGATAAACTGTGAGTGGTACATTTGGGCCTAGATATGAGAGAATACATCTATGTGGTATGTGTGCACCACATAAAACAGATCCTGCAGCACACTGTGTATAATGAGAGAAAAAAACTGAAATCATGATTTTTCGATTAAAACAGCAACTTTGCAGTGTTTTTTCGTATGTTTTTTATAGTTGTATTTGCGATTTCTTGGTCTCATTTGATAGAATGGAAGACATATTACAGAAATAGAGATGATTTTGATTGGTTTTAGCACTGGAAATGGCTTGAAACTGAGCTCAAAGTAGCGGAAATGTTAAATTTTTGCCAATATTCAAGAGTAAACAAACGACCTCACATGTCTAATACACATCAGCTGGTGGGTCTAATATACATTCACAAATATGGTGATGATATTTATACAATTATTACAGTATTGCATAACAGTAAATCTTCTATTGTTTGGTGTGAATAAAAATTCACACCAAAGGAGCAATGGGCTAGTAACCCCTTCTCCTGTATACAATTACTAAAAAAGAGAAGAAGAAAAACTTTATAAAACTGGGTTGCTTAAATGTGCGTGGATGTAGTGCGGATGACAAGAAACAGATGATTGCTGATGTTATGAATGAAAAGAAGTTGGATGTCCTGGCCCTAAGCGAAACAAAGCTGAAGGGGGTAGGAGAGTTTCAGTGGGGGGAAATAAATGGGATTAAATCTGGAGTATCTGAGAGAGTTAGAGCAAAGGAAGGGGTAGCAGTAATGTTAAATGATCAGTTATGGAAGGAGAAAAGAGAATATGAATGTGTAAATTCAAGAATTATGTGGATTAAAGTAAAGGTTGGATGCGAGAAGTGGGTCATAATAAGCGTGTATGCACCTGGAGAAGAGAGGAATGCAGAGGAGAGAGAGAGAGATTTTGGGAGATGTTAAGTGAATGTATAGGAGCCTTTGAACCAAGTGAGAGAGTAATTGTGGTAGGGGACTTGAATGCTAAAGTAGGAGAAACTTTTAGAGAGGGTGTGGTAGGTAAGTTTGGGGTGCCAGGTGTAAATGATAATGGGAGCCCTTTGATTGAACTTTGTATAGAAAGGGGTTTAGTTATAGGTAATACATATTTTAAGAAAAAGAGGATAAATAAGTATACACGATATGATGTAGGGCGAAATGACAGTAGTTTGTTGGATTATGTATTGGTAGATAAAAGACTGTTGAGTAGACTTCAGGATGTACATGTTTATAGAGGGGCCACAGATATATCAGATCACTTTCTAGTTGTAGCTACACTGAGAGTAAAAGGTAGATGGGATACAAGGAGAATAGAAGCATCAGGGAAGAGAGAGGTGAAGGTTTATAAACTAAAAGAGGAGGCAGTTAGGGTAAGATATAAACAGCTATTGGAGGATAGATGGGCTAATGAGAGCATAGGCAATGGGGTCGAAGAGGTATGGGGTAGGTTTAAAAATGTAGTGTTAGAGTGTTCAGCAGAAGTTTGTGGTTACAGGAAAGTGGGTGCAGGAGGGAAGAGGAGCGATTGGTGGAATGATGATGTAAAGAGAGTAGTAAGGGAGAAAAAGTTAGCATATGAGAAGTTTTTACAAAGTAGAAGTGATGCAAGGAGGGAAGAGTATATGGAGAAAAAGAGAGAGGTTAAGAGAGTGGTGAAGCAATGTAAAAAGAGAGCAAATGAGAGAGTGGGTGAGATGTTATCAACAAATTTTGTTGAAAATAAGAAAAAGTTTTGGAGTGAGATTAACAAGTTAAGAAAGCCTAGAGAACAAATTGATTTGTCAGTTAAAAATAGGAGAGGAGAGTTATTAAATGGAGAGTTAGAGGTATTGGGAAGATGGAAGGAATATTTTGAGGAATTGTTAAATGTTGATGAAGATAGGGAAGCTGTGATTTCGTGTATAGGGCAAGGAGGAATAACATCTTGTAGGAGTGAGGAAGAGCCAGTTGTGAGTGTGGGGGAAGTTCGTGAGGCAGTAGGTAAAATGAAAGGGGGTAAGGCAGCCGGGATTGATGGGATAAAGATAGAAATGTTAAAAGCAGGTGGGGATATAGTTTTGGAGTGGTTGGTGCAATTATTTAATAAATGTATGGAAGAGGGTAAGGTACCTAGGGATTGGCAGAGAGCATGCATAGTTCCTTTGTATAAAGGCAAAGGGGATAAAAGAGAGTGCAAAAATTATAGGGGGATAAGTCTGTTGAGTGTACCTGGTAAAGTGTATGGTAGAGTTATAATTGAAAGAATTAAGAGTAAGACGGAGAATAGGATAGCAGATGAACAAGGAGGCTTTAGGAAAGGTAGGGGGTGTGTGGACCAGGTGTTTACAGTGAAACATATAAGTGAACAGTATTTAGATAAGGCTAAAGAGGTCTTTGTGGCATTTATGGATTTGGAAAAGGCGTATGACAGGGTGGATAGGGGGCAATGTGGCAGATGTTGCAAGTGTATGGTGTAGGAGGTAGGTTACTGAAAGCAGTGAAGAGTTTTTACGAGGATAGTGAGGCTCAAGTTAGAGTATGTAGGAAAGAGGGAAATTTTTTCCCAGTAAAAGTAGGCCTTAGACAAGGATGTGTGATGTCACCGTGGTTGTTTAATATATTTATAGATGGGGTTGTAAGAGAAGTAAATGCGAGGGTCTTGGCAAGAGGCGTGGAGTTAAAAGATAAAGAATCACACACAAAGTGGGAGTTGTCACAGCTGCTCTTTGCTGATGACACTGTGCTCTTGGGAGATTCTGAAGAGAAGTTGCAGAGATTGGTGGATGAATTTGGTAGGGTGTGCAAAAGAAGAAAATTAAAGGTGAATACAGGAAAGAGTAAGGTTATGAGGATAACAAAAAGATTAGGTGATGAAAGATTGAATATCAGATTGGAGGGAGAGAGTATGGAGGAGGTGAACGTATTCAGATATTTGGGAGTGGACGTGTCAGCGGATGGGTCTATGAAAGATGAGGTGAATCATAGAATTGATGAGGGAAAAAGAGTGAGTGGTGCACTTAGGAGTCTGTGGAGACAAAGAACTTTGTCCTTGGAGGCAAAGAGGGGAATGTATGAGAGTATAGTTTTACCAACGCTCTTATATGGGTGTGAAGCGTGGGTGATGAATGTTGCAGCGAGGAGAAGGCTGGAGGCAGTGGAGATGTCATGTCTGAGGGCAATGTGTGGTGTGAATATAATGCAGAGAATTAGTAGTTTGGAAGTTAGGAGGAGGTGCGGGATTACCAAAACTGTTGTCCAGAGGGCTGAGGAAGGGTTGTTGAGGTGGTTCGGACATGTAGAGAGAATGGAGCGAAACAGAATGACTTCAAGAGTGTATCAGTCTGTAGTGGAAGGAAGGCGGGGTAGGGGTCGGCCTAGGAAGGGTTGGAGGGAGGGGGTAAAGGAGGTTTTGTGTGCGAGGGGCTTGGACTTCCAGCAGGCATGCGTGAGCGTGTTTGATAGGAGTGAATGGAGACAAATGGTTTTTAATACTTGACGTGCTGTTGGAGTGTGAGCAAAGTAACATTTATGAAGGGATTCAGGGAAACCGGCAGGCCGGACTTGAGTTCTGGAGATGGGAAGTACAGTGCCTGCACTCTGAAGGAGGGGTGTTAATGTTGCAGTTTAAAAACTGTAGTGTAAAGCACCCTTCTGGCAAGACAGTGATGGAGTGAATGATGGTGAAAGTTTTTCTTTTTCGGGCCACCCTGCCTTGGTGGGAATCGGCCGGTGTGATAATAAAAAAATAAAAAAAATTCATTATGTGAATAAAAAATCAAAATGGAATTTATTTGTAAAGCCTCAAAACATAACTAATGAACAGAGGAAATGTTAGTTTAGTGCCAGGAATGCCTACATTGTTTATTCTGGACCCTATTTTGAAATTGGAATATTTTGAACTTTGTGTTAAATTGGCCAAATTAACAATTTCCGATCACTTTATTTTGTAGTTGAAACAGTTGACTTGGCGATTTCTTGTGCTCAATCGATAGAATAGAAGTAATACTAGTGAAATAGCTAAGAATTTGATTGATTGGAATAATGTAATTGGCCTAAAATGGGAGTCAAAGTCGGCAAAATCGCCGATTCGTAAATATCGCTGACACATCAAAATTCGCGAGAGCATAATTTCGTCAATTTTCCACCAAATTTCGTACTTTTTGTTTTATTACCTTCACAAAAAGATTCTCTACGATTTCATAAGAAAAAATAACAAATTTTTTTTTTTAAATTCTTGGACACTGGTGCGTGACTCCAGATTTGGGCCTTGGACCCTGAAAGGGTTAAAATAAATATAAACATTTTTGAAGTTAAGACTCTACAGCATTTATTAACAAAAGTGCCATTAATGAGAGTTAAAGAAGCAGTACTGCAGTGGACTATCAATCACAAAATAACAATGGGTATTTCAAATACATCACTGTTTAGAGAAATTACTCATGCTCATGTATTTAGTACAGTACTGTACTTGGTTATTGTCCATGGTGTTTTTAGAAATCAATATTACATAGCTTTTGTATCATTTCAGGTTAGTTTATCTGGAAAATACATAAGTGAGTATGTAATCCGCACCCAGCCTACAGAAGATGCTCTCTCAACTGTTGAGTCAGCAGCCATTGCATTGGCTACATTAGAGCAAAATTGGTCTATTTATCATACACTTGTTCACCCTCTCCAACTCCTGTGTCAGTACCAGGTATGTTAATTCTGCCTTTCAGTGTACAGTAAATGCTGGTTAGTTAATGGAGTTTGGTTCTCAGTCCTATAAATTTGCTGACTGTGAACTATTTTTTTTTAACATGTCGGCCATCTCCCACCAAGGCAGATGACCCAAAAAAGAAAGAAGCACTTTTTTTCATATAATCACTGTCTTTGCAGAAGCACTAAGATATGACAGTTGAGATGTCGCTCCAGACAGCCCAAACCCCTCCTTTAAAGGGTAGGCATTGTACTTCCACCTCCAGGACTCAAGTCTGGCTAACCGGTTTCCCTGAATCCCCTCACATTATTATAATTATAATCAAGGGGGAAGCGCTAAATCCGTTGGATTATACAGCGCCTGTGGAGGAATGTGGAAGGTATTCAGGCTTAATTCAGGGACCTGGAGCACATATCCAATTCCCTAGATCTAGGGCTCCTCACCAGCATCAAGGAACCTTCCTTGAGGGGGATCCCTTCACAAAATATTACCCTGCTCACACTCAAAAATCATTCATCTCCATTCACTCCTATCTAACACACTCACACATGCCTGCTGCATGTCCAAGCCTCTTACACACAAAACCTCTTTTACCCCTTCCCTCCATCCTTTCCTAGAACAACCCCTACCCCTCCCCTCCACTACAGATTTATACACCTTCCAAGTCATCCTATTTTGCTTCATCCTCTCTAAATGACCAAACCACCACAACAACCCCTCTTCAACCCTCTGAAAAATACTTTTAGTAACTCTACACCCCCTCCTAATTTCCACACTACAAATTCTCTGCATAATATTTACACCACACATTGCCCTTACACATCACATCTCCACTGCCACTAGCCTCTTTCTTGCTATAGCATTTACAACACATGCTTCACACTCATATAAGAGTGTTGGTACCACTATTGTACATTCCCTTCTTTGCCTCCATGGATAACGTTTTTTTTTTTTTTTTTTTTTTTGCCTCCACAGATACCTCAGTGTACCAGTTGCCTTTTTATTCTTCATCAATTCTATGGTTAACCTCATCATTCATAAACCCATCTGCTGACAAGTCTACTCCCAAATATCTGAACATGTTCACTTCTTCCATACCCCTTCCCTCCAATGTGATATCCAATTTTTCTTTACCTAACTCGTTTGATACTCTCATCACCCTACTCTTACCTATGTTCGCTTTCAACTTTCTTCCTTTACACACCCTCCCAAACTCAGGTTTGGCTAACCTGAGTACCTGACTAAGAACCCAGCAACTCATTTTTATTTGGGGGGGACCCAATTATCAGTATGATTTTCCTTTTGTTAAGATTTGATATCTTTTATTTTATTTATATTTTATGCACAACATTGCATAGATATTTTTTTATCCAACGCTTGAATTTGGTCAAGCTTGAAAATTTGTGAAGGTTACATTTTTAGAGCTCATGAATCTTGAATTGGCGAATAATTAAAAATAACGCATGTCTGCATAATTAAAAAATTTCCAATTTTCTTTTACATGTGTAGTAAATCTTCATATTACACAACTTAGGCAAGTGTGGTTTTACTATTACAGGATTCAAAAAGCGTAGTCAAAAAATTATGTGAATGATAATTAGGGATGGGACAATACCAAATATTTTACTGATACTGTTACTCAATTTTAGGTTCATACCAATACTGTACCATCAAAATTAGCTTATACCCATGGATACTGATACCCAGTTTTAGGCCAGTACCATCAAAATTAGCTGATACCAACCAGTACAGTATTTTGGCACACACCTAATGATAATAGTGAGGAATTGTGTGTAAGCTAGTGAGTTGGGGTGGAGGTATCCTGATTGTAATTAGCACTAGTCAGCTGACTGCCTCAACATAGTGTTTATGTTCAGAAAATTTCCTTGCCTTGATTGGTAAAGCCAAGTAGTACTTATCCTTCATCTAGTAATGACACAGAATGAGGCAAGGCATATCACCAAGTCTCATTACATCTTGTTTTACTGTTCACCTAGTTGCTACTTCTAGTGGTTAAGCTGAAGGTATTATTGGGACACCCACACTCTCTTTGTGTTTGAAATCAGTTCTTGGCAAAGCCTTGGCCAGAATACCAGAGCATGTGGTGTGCCAGACTCTTTCACTTGTCCACTAAACATGATATTATCAGCCCCTCATGCATAGATCATACTAAGTAAATGCGCAGACAGTTAAGGTAAGCGGTGGAGTGTTGTATACGAAAACTAAGGTTTCACATTTTTGTTGTGGCTGAAGCCAGAGTCAGCAGCCCTCACACACCTCCCTGTTACTGCCTCCCACATCATTACTTTAGTATTTTAATTTTATTTTTGTGGTTATTACTTTATCAAATTCATTTATCTTTGGTACATATTTGTATTGTGTATGTGGTGAGTTAGTACAGTTTGGTAAAGAAATATTTCATGTTTCCTTATTTTGTCTGCCGTGTGTTCTGCATTGAGTTAAATACAATGCAAGAGTGGTAAGAGTGAACAATAGTGAGAATGAGAGGTATCCAGTCCAGCTGCTGCCTGCCTCTACATCTCTGTCACTCCAGTCTTCCCACACAACACACTTAGCCACAGAAGTGAGGGAGTGGTGAGCACATGCAAAGAGTATTGTTTGATACAATTTAAGTGAAGGTGAGTGTAAATGGGAGAGTGAGAATGAGCAACAGAGGAAGACAGTCCAGCTGCTGCCCCTCATCTCCCCTCCTACATATCTGTACTGTACCGTACTATACATTGTATTGTAGCTTTGTTCTGTTTAATTAATGTTTAATACTACTTGAAAGTGAAAAGACACAGTACCAAATTAAAATATTGGGTAAATATTCTTGGTTAAAAATTAAAAGAAATAAGGTACAGAATGTTATGGCTCGTGAACACGTCTCCCATTATCATATTTATGGAGAGATAGGTTCCAAGTTTTGAGCACACAACGTGTAAACAATTTTCAACAAAGTACTAACATCATAAATCAGGGGACATACTGTATAAATGTGTAGACAACACCAGGCTAGCTCATGGTTATTTTATGTAGGTACAACCTTTTCAGTCTGTAATGGTTGCCTAATACTCCTGTGAGAATTTATTTTAGTAGCTTTCCCTGCCTTTCAAATATCATGCCACCCTCATATTTTACTCTTCCTTTAATGTAATTACAGTGAAACCTTGGTACTCGAACAGCTTCCTACTTGAAGAATTCGGTATTCAAACGCTTTGGTAAAAAAAATCACTCGGTAGTTGACCGTTTGCTTGGTGCTTGACCAAACAGACATGACCTGACAGAACTTCACTGTAAACTATTTCATGTTTTTTCGCATTTTTTTTTTTTTTACATTATTTGTATAAATAAATCACTGTGGGGCCTAAGAAGATTAGTGATAACAGCCAACAAAAAAGAAAATTGGTTGGGAAAAATTTGTTTGATACTCGAACAGCCTTCTCGAACGAATTAAGTTTGAGTACCAAGGTTCCACTGTACCTCTTTATAATTACTCGTTCGCAGCTATAGGAGCAGAGATGTGCTATCCTGTCTTCAGTAATTTGTTCATCACATAATTTTTTAAAATATCCAATAACTGTATCACTTACCACACCCTCTTTTAATTCATTCAGTTAGTCAACCACTGTCTTGGTGAAGAAAAATTTTCTAGTTTAACTTTGGCTACACTTTTTTTCTCAGTTTACAACTGTGGTTAGTTCTGATACTCACACTGTGCCATATTTGACTTAAATTTTTTTTCACAATTTTTTTTTTATATTCTTGGCAGCCATTACCCAGATAAAACAGATACGAGCCATGTGTCATTGTTGCTTTGTTAGTGTTATATGAACCATATTGGCTTATGGTTCTTTTGTTGAATAAAGACATAGGTGAATACAGATAGGAAGAATGTCTGTCTAGTGCTCAGATGGAGGATCAAGCCTCCACCCTGTCTTGTGCTGAATGACTCGCATGGGTTTAGCGCCTAACATGAATTATAAAAAAAAATTTGTTGAATAAATAAAATCATAATCTAGAAAATGGCAATAGTCATTATCTTAGACCTGAGGAATGTCCCTAACATCTAGTATAAGAATTTTTGTAGCTTTTGGGTGCCTAAAAGCCCACCTAAGTTATAAATGATGGCAGCTTAAAACTTTATAAGATTACGTATGTGAAATATTGGAGGACAAACAAACAGCAGCATTGTGACTGAAATAGTTTAATTTTTTCAATATAGCAAATAGGAAGTTAGGATTTGACACTGCCCACAGAACCTACTGTACTGTATAGAGGATTGAAAATATAGAATACAGTGTAAATTAGATTATTACTAAAGACTGTGGTTTCTGAGTTGTGAAGAAATAGCTCAGAAACATGAATGTGGATACATTGGTCAGTGGTGCAATAAAGACAGTACAGTATATTGTAATCATGTTGATAATGAAGGAGAGAATGCTGAGTTAATAAAGGCTGATGGAGACAGAGGTACTGGAATATTATCTAACTTAAATCTGTCTTGATGTGAGAGGATATATAGGAAGATTGTACTGTATATAAATCTGAAAGATGATACATTGTATAGACTTGAATATAACAAGTAAAGGGAAGCAAAAAAAGACATTGTTAAAAACAACTTCTTTGATCATGCATCTAACTTTTTTTTTTTAATCTTTTAAAAAAAACATCAGGTTGGTAATAGCATTATTAAACATAAAAACAAAAATTTTTCAGATCCAACATGGTGCAGTTCCCCATCAGAGCAAAGAACACATGATCATATCTGGCCGCTCTAGTAAGCCGTTAGGAAAACGAACTTATAAAAAACTGCGAAAGTGTGGTGCCAAACAGGGCGACTCGCTCTCAGAGTTCATGGACTCCCTCACTTTGTATACAAGTCAGGTAGAAGAAATTAACCATGCTGGTGGACCTAATTTTGATGGTGTTAAATCACATGATGGAAGTGATAAAACTGAAACAAAAAACTGTAATCTTGACAGAAATATTCACAATTCTTCTGGCAATGAAACACAAAACTTGAACATGCTTCACCAGATCTTTCCTGTTTTGAATACTGCCATAGAGTCTTCTCAGGAATTCAGATGATACAGTGTTGCTATTTTAAAGAATTTAAGATTTTTAGAATTTTGTAAATGGAATCAAGAAACCAAACCTTGGAAATTCTTGGATCCTTATTATATATTTAATTTATTAAAAAGCAAAGTACCTGTACATAAATTTTCTTGACTAATTTTTAATAATTTATTTATTTAGCTATAAAGTTCTGCTGTGTACTCTAGCTTTTGTACAAGAAGGAGAACATAACATGGTTATATTTTAATTTTTTTTTTTTATCTATACTGCATTTATAAAATGTACTATGTAGTACCCCAATTTAATCAAGGTATGTTCCACATTGTGCCGAGAAAACAGTAGTAACTTCTCCCCTGTTCTACATCTGCCTTTGGGGAAGAGGTCACCAGATTTCTCATTTGTCTGAGACAATAACTTGAGTACTAGGTACTTTTTTTACACATGCATAATTAATTAAAAATTAATAAAAATGTAATTTGTTAAAGCCAATAAAAGTAGAAAAATAATTCTGTAGGTATTTTCATAATCCACACCAGTATATACATATTCATTAGATGCTGATACATAATCCACACCAGTATATACATATTCCTTGGATGTTGATACATTTGCCTTTTTTTAATTCCTTCTGTTGTACTAAATACTCTAAGGAGTACAGTAAGGTCCCACTTGACGCATTCCTCTAATACTGCGATTTCAAATTATGACCAAAACTTGCTATACGGCAAGTGATCTTTCTAATACGGTGCACCCTACCTAGTTTGTTTACATTCTCCCTCCGTGAGCACATCTCTCTATTATGTCTGGAAATTTTCCCAAATTTCAAGTGTTTTAAACTTATTGCATATTTTATATATGTACTCTGATAATTATACTTATGTGTACCTGTACCCAAATACTATACTTATTACGCTAACATGAAGGTACACATTAAAATCACTAAGAGTCTACTCTTGACGCCATATACAGTGGTACCTTGACTTATGAGTTTAATTCGTTCCGTGACCGTGCTCGTAACTCAATTTGCTCGTATGTCAAATAAATTTTCCTCATTAAAATTAATTAAAATGCTGTTAATCCATTCCAGCCCCCTAAAAACCGCCCCAGCAACCAACCAGCCCCCTACAAACCACCCAATGGACCTTCGGCCAATGGCTTTAATCCGTTCCAGAGAGCTAGCCTTTAGTCGAATTAGCCGTTAGTCAAATTAATTTTCCCCATAAGAAATAATGGAAATAGAATTAATCCGTTCCAGACACTCAAAAGTATTAAACAAAATAATTTTTTTTTTACATGAAATATACATTTCCCTATACAAAAATGAATGGTACATGCAAAATAAACAATAATTAAAAGCCACTTACTTTTATTGTGGAGTTGTTGATGAGTGATGTGCCAGTAGCAGGGGAGATTCAGGTATTCTATTGTTTGGAAGGGGAATCCCCTTCCATAAAGACTTCAGGTAGCAAGTCCTTTGGTGGGGTTACCTCCCTTCTTGGTTTTTTAATGCCACTAGGACCAGCTTCAGAGTCACTGGACCCCTGTCGCACAAAATATCTGTCCAGAGAGTTCTGTTTCTCACGTGCCCTTAGGATTTCCCTAAAATGGGACACGAGTGTCATTGTGCATTTTGCCAATACGGCTTGCAACAGCTGTGACAGGATAAAATTCATCCATAAATGCTTGCACCTTTGTAAACATTGTACACATTTCCTTAATCTTTGACAAAGGCTACTTCCTCTGTCTCTCTTCCTCCTGCTCTGAAGCACATTCCTGAGCTGTGATCTGTTGCTGTTGCACCTTGAGCTCTTGCAGGTCTGCAGTGGTTAGTTCTTCATCGTCGTTCTGCACCAACTCTTCCACATCCTAGCCACAAACCTCTAACCCCATGCACTTCCCCAATAACACAATAGCTTCCACAACTGGCTTAGGCTCCTGAGGGTTAGCCCCAACCCCCTTCAAAATCCCTCTCTTGTACCATTGTGGCCACAGTTTCCTCCAAGCAGAGTTCAAAGTCCTGCAAGTCACTCCCTCCCAAGCCTTACCTATAAGGTTTATGCAACTGAGGATATTGAAGTGATCTTTCCAAAACTCTCTTAGGGTCAATCGAGTGTCTGAGGTCACTTAAAAGCACTTTTGAAACACTGCTTTTGTGTAGAGTTTTTTGAAGTTTGAAATGACCTGCTGGTCCATGGGCTGGAGGAGAGGAATTGTATTTGGAGGCAAAAACTTCACTTTAACGAAGCTAAACTCCCCTGCAATTTGCTCTTGCAAGTCGTGAGGATGAGCAAGAGCATTGTCCTTTACCAGGAGGCAGTCGAGTGACAATTTATTTTCCAGGAGGTAATTTTTCATTGGGGCAAAACACACCATAAAACCAGTCCATGAAAGTTTCCCTAGTGACCCATGCCTTAGTGTTTGATCTCCACAGCACACACAAATTACCCTTAACGATTTGTTTCTCTTGGACACACTGGGAGTTTCAGAGTGATACACCAATAAAAGCTTCACTTTGCAGTTACCACTAGCATTACTACATAACATTAATGTCAGCCTGTCTTTCATAGGCTTATGTCCTGGGAGTGCCTTTTCCTCCTGAGTAATGTAGGTCCTGTTTGGAAATTTCTTCCAAAATAGGCCTGTTTCGTCACAATTAAACATTTGTTCAGATTTTAAGTTTTCAGTGTTTATGTACTCCTTAAAGTCCTACACATATTTTTCAGCTGCTGTTTTGTCTGTACTGGCAGCCTCACCATGTCTTACCACACTATGTATGCCACTATGATTCTTAAATCTCTCAAACCAGCCTTTGCTGGCCTTAAATTCATCAATATCATCACTGTTTTGAGGCATTTTCTTAATGAGATCATCATGCAACTGCCTTGCCTTTTTACATATTACTGACCAAGAAACACTATCTCCTAATAATTGTTTTTCGTTTATTAATACCAACAACAGTCTCCCCACCTCTTCAATTATTTGCGATCTCCGTTTTGAAAACACACTTACACCTTTCGCAACAACAGCTTCCTTGATTGCCTTTCTGTTTGCCAAGATAGTAGCGATGGTTGAATAGGGTTTGTTATATAGCCTTTCCAACTCGGACATACGCACTCCACTTTCATATTTTTCAATGATCTCTTTCTTCATTTCCATTGTAATTCTCACCCTTTTTACCATAGGCTTGGCACTATAAGCTTTCTTGTTACCCATGGTGGCTTATTTAGCAGTTAGAAGCACTAAAAAAACTGGAATAATACAAAATATATCGCAGGTACATGTGGAATCGACCACAACAGCTTGTAAACAATGGCAGACTAAGTCTTGGAGTGGCTGGACCCGTTCAGGCCGTGCTCCGGCCGCATGGATACGTTGGTAGAGCCAATGTTTTTATGCCAAAGAGCGCCGTTAGACGAATCTGGCGTTAGTCGATGCCGCTGTTGGTTGGGGGTCCACTGTACGTACTTCAATATAACGCTAATATCAACTCTATGGCTTATTTATATACATGTATCAGAATTGATCTAATATGACATAAACACTATAAGTAACACAGAAACATGATATATACTCTAGAATGAATATTATTATTATAATCAAAAAGAAGCGCTAAGCCACAAGGACTATACAGGCTCTAGAATGAATGAAATAGGCCATAATATGGTGAGTGTTCTGGACCAGTCTGAGTATATAAAATCATCATTGTTCCTTCCTATAATGTGTTCTTTGGTCCTGGGTAAGAGAAAACGGAGTTTTTGAGAGGCTACTGCACTAGATCACTAGTGCAGTGATATATGAATATCTCAGAAGTAAGTTATTGACTTACTTCATGAAGCCCACCATTTATTATTGATGTAAATGCAATAATATTGACAGGAATCATAAAAAAATTATTGTTTTACAATTGGCTTGTGGAATATGTATTGGAAATATTCCAAATATTTTGGGATTTGTGTGGGAGTACAGGGCAAGATATTTTGCAAATGTCAAAAACTAAGCAACTTTATTTTTTGTAGAATAACTAAAGATAATTACACGATTACCTCCAGTGAGAACATCGCACTAGCATTGTTTTATAAGTACCAAGTCACAAAACCACTTTTCGTTGTGCCATTTAGGCCTGGGTTCTTGCCAAATGTCATTTTCAGTAAATATTTTTTTTTTTCAGTAAATATTTTTTTCGCTCGTAACTCAGATTTTAGCTCACAACTCAAAGCAAAAAATTGACTGAGCAATGGCTCGTAACTCGGAAAAATCGTTAGTTGGGGCACTCGTAAGTCAAGGTACCACCGTAATCTCTTGAGCGCATTAAATGTCGTATATTATGTTAATATGGACGTTTCCATTAATCCATCTGTGATATTTTTTCAAAATTATATAATAAACATGCTATGTCACATATAAACATGTTACATACACCCATGGTATAATAAGTGACATAAATATGAGATTTGTTTACCAAGTGGTTTGTAGGAGTTTCAGAAGAATTACATTTTCTCTGGTCAAACACCAGTTACTTAACTGTAGAAAAATATTCCTTTTGCATGCCTTCACTATCTATAGCTATTCATGACCCTTGTGGGTTGAGCACTTCTTTTTTATAATGATTATAATAATAATAATGTCATCATTCACTCTAAAAATGGTGTGTTGCATGAGAATGGGAGTGTTACTGTTTATTTATTCTGTACTAGTCAGAGCATCATTTCTTCTAAAAATGATGTTACATGAGAATGGATGTGTTGGTCTTCATTTATTCTACTGTACCACTGTGGAGATAACTTGTACACAATGTAAGGTGTTTGTATGACCCATAACCAGACACTTTGTCTGTTTACATAGTACTCTGAGTGGATGGGGTGGCCGGGGGGGGGGGGGGGCTACCCTCCCACACCTAACTTTCTATAAATAAATACTTTTCACATCTCATCCTACATTAAGACCATTAAGACTACAAATATTTTAAAGTAATGAGTGTACTGTATATCCATTTTATCACTCTAGGGCGCTTTAAATGTCGTAGTATATTAAGTGTGGGTAGGGTTTCCAGGAGGGCTACCATACCTACCCACACCTGACTTCTTACAATAAATACTACTCACCTTGTGTCATACATTAAGACTACAAATATTTTGAGGTAAGTAATGAGTGTACTGTGTATTTTATTTTTTATTGTTGTTTAATGCCTAGTTCTATTGCTAACATAATATATGTTAGTGTAAACTTGTTATCTGGCATTTATGTGCATTTATAAGTGGAAAAAATGGCGTTCTGCTTTCCGGCAGTGTCTACTTTGCAGCGGTAGCCTGGAACCTAACCTGCTGTATAAGTGGGGCCCTACTGTACTGTATAATGAATAGCATATTTCTTATCTTTTTTTTCCTTGTATCTCTTATTTTACTAGTAAATTCAATACCATACTTGGCTGCAAGCACATCAAAGATCTAACAGTTTGTGTCAATTTCTTTAGGTACTTGGTGAGGTTTTACTCTTTCAAAATGGTTACTGGTGGGACAATTTGATAAACAGCTGCCACAGTACAGGTCATTGATTTTACCCTCTAAAGAAAATAGGATCTTTGTACAGTATTAGTATAAGCAGTCTGTGAATCATGAGGGTCTCCTTTGGGTGCCACTTGGAAATGAGATATGGTATTTTATCTGCACTGACACATACTTTGTACCTTCACTCCAAAAGCAGGTAGTGGCATATGACTCAAGGCAATGTTTGATTTCTGCTGGCCTAGGCTGCCTAAGTAGGAGATGCCCACCATGCATGTTCACAACAACAGACCATAATCTACCCCATCATGAAACCTAGGTGTGTTGTCAAACCTAGGCTTCATTATATATATAACTTATGGTGTATTTGTTAAATGTGATTTTTAAACATTCCTGTTTCACTTATTTTTTTTTTTTTTTTTTTTTTTTTTTTTTTTTTTTTTTATTATCACACCGGCCGATTCCCACCAAGGCAGGGTGGCCCGAAAAAGAAAAACTTTCACCATCATTCACTCCATCACTGTCTTGCCAGAAGGGTGCTTTACACTACAGTTTTTAAACTGCAATATTAACACCCCTCCTTCAGAGTGCAGGCACTGTACTTCCCATCTCCAGGACTCAAGTCCGGCCTGCCGGTTTCCCTGAATCCCTTCATAAATGTTACTTTGCTCACACTCCAACAGCACGTCAAGTATTAAAAACCATTTGTCTCCATTCACTCCTATCAAACACGCTCACGCATGCCTGCTGGAAGTCCAAGCCCCTCGCACACAAAACCTCCTTTACCCCCTCCCTCCAACCCTTCCTAGGCCGACCCCTACCCCGCCTTCCTTCCACTACAGACTGATACACTCTTGAAGTCATTCTGTTTCGCTCCATTCTCTCTACATGTCCGAACCACCTCAACAACCCTTCCTCAGCCCTCTGGACAACAGTTTTGGTAATCCCGCACCTCCTCCTAACTTCCAAACTACGAATTCTCTGCATTATATTCACACCACACATTGCCCTCAGACATGACATCTCCACTGCCTCCAGCCTTCTCCTCGCTGCAACATTCATCACCCACGCTTCACACCCATATAAGAGCGTTGGTAAAACTATACTCTCATACATTCCCCTCTTTGCCTCCAAGGACAAAGTTCTTTGTCTCCACAGACTCCTAAGTGCACCACTCACTCTTTTTCCCTCATCAATTCTATGATTTCACCTCATCTTTCATAGACCCATCCGCTGACACGTCCACTCCCAAATATCTGAATACGTTCACCTCCTCCATACTCTCTCCCTCCAATCTGATATTCAATCTTTCATCACCTAATCTTTTTGTTATCCTCATAACCTTACTCTTTCCTGTATTCACCTTTAATTTTCTTCTTTTGCACACCCTACCAAATTCATCCACCAATCTCTGCAACTTCTCTTCAGAATTCTCCAAGAGCACAGTGTCATCAGCAAAGAGCAGCTGTGACAACTCCCACTTTGTGTGTGATTCTTTATCTTTTAACTCCACGCCTCTTGCCAAGACCCTCGCATTTACTTCTCTTACAACCCCATCTATAAATATATTAAACAACCACGGTGACATCACACATCCTTGTCTAAGGCCTACTTTTACTGGGAAAAAATTTCCCTCTTTCCTACATACTCTAACTTGAGCCTCACTATCCTCGTAAAAACTCTTCACTGCTTTCAGTAACCTACCTCCTACACCATACACTTGCAACATCTGCCACATTGCCCCCCTATCCACCCTGTCATACGCCTTTTCCAAATCCATAAATGCCACAAAGACCTCTTTAGCCTTATCTAAATACTGTTCACTTATATGTTTCACTGTAAAAAACCTGGTCCACACACCCCCTACCTTTCCTAAAGCCTCCTTGTTCATCTGCTATCCTATTCTCCGTCTTACTCTTAATTCTTTCAATTATAACTCTACCATACACTTTACCAGGTACACTCAACAGACTTATCCCCCTATAATTCTTGCACTCTCTTTTATCCCTTTGCCTTTATACAAAGGAACTATGCATGCTCTCTGCCAATCCCTAGGTACCTTACCCTCTTCCATACATTTATTAAATAATTGCACCAACCCCTCCAAAACTATATCCCCACCTGCTTTTAACATTTCTATCTTTATCCCATCAATCCCGGCTGCCTTACCCCCTTTCATTTTACCTACTGCCTCACGAACTTCCCCCACACTCACAACTGGCTCTTCCTCACTCCTACAAGATGTTATTCCTCCTTGCCCTATACACGAAATCACAGCTTCCCTATCTTCATCAACATTTAACAATTCCTCAAAATATTCCTTCCATCTTCCCAATACCTCTAACTCTCCATTTAATAACTCTCCTCTCCTATTTTTAACTGACAAATCCATTTGTTCTCTAGGCTTTCTTAACTTGTTAATCTCACTCCAAAACTTTTTCTTATTTTCAACAAAATTTGTTGATAACATCTCACCCACTCTCTCATTTGCTCTCTTTTTACATTGCTTCACCACTCTCTTAACTTCTCTCTTTTTCTCCATATACTCTTCCCTCCTTGCATCACTTCTACTTTGTAAAAACTTCTCATATGCTAACTTTTTTTCCCTTACTACTCTCTTTACATCATCATTCCACCAATCGCTCCTCTTCCCTCCTGCACCCACTTTCCTGTAACCCCAAACTTCTGCTGAACACTCTAACACTACATTTTTAAACCTACCCCATACCTCTTCGACCCCATTGCCTATGCTCTCATTAGCCCATCTATCCTCCAATAGCTGTTTATATCTTACCCTAACTGCCTCCTCTTTTAGTTTATAAACCTTCACCTCTCTCTTCCCTGATGCTTCTATTCTCCTTGTATCCCATCTACCTTTTACTCTCAGTGTAGCTACAACTAGAAAGTGATCTGATATATCTGTGGCCCCTCTATAAACATGTACATCCTGAAGTCTACTCAACAGTCTTTTATCTACCAATACATAATCCAACAAACTACTGTCATTTCGCCCTACATCATATCGTGTATACTTATTTATCCTCTTTTTCTTAAAATATGTATTACCTATAACTAAACCCCTTTCTATACAAAGTTCAATCAAAGGGCTCCCATTATCATTTACACCTGGCACCCCAAACTTACCTACCACACCCTCTCTAAAAGTTTCTCCTACTTTAGCATTCAAGTCCCCTACCACAATTACTCTCTCACTTGGTTCAAAGGCTCCTATACATTCACTTAACATCTCCCAAAATCTCTCTCTCTCCTCTGCATTCCTCTCTTCTCCAGGTGCATACACGCTTATTATGACCCACTTCTCGCATCCAACCTTTACTTTAATCCACATAATTCTTGAATTTACACATTCATATTCTCTTTTCTCCTTCCATAACTGATCATTTAACATTACTGCTACCCCTTCCTTTGCTCTAACTCTCTCAGATACTCCAGATTTAATCCATTTATTTCCCCCACTGAAACTCTCCTACCCCCTTCAGCTTTGTTTCGCTTAGGGCCAGGACATCCAACTTCTTTTCATTCATAACATCAGCAATCATCTGTTTCTTGTCATCCGCACTACATCCACGCACATTTAAGCAACCCAGTTTTATAAAGTTTTTCTTCTTCTCTTTTTTAGTAATTGTATACAGGAGAAGGGGTTACTAGCCCATTGCTCCCGGCATTTTAGTCGCCTCATACGACACGCATGGCTTACGGAGGAAAGATTCTTTTCCACTTCCCCATGGACAATAGAAGAAATAAAAAAGAACAAGAGCTATTTAGAAAAAGGAGAAAAACCTAGATGTATGTATATATATATATGCATGTGCGTGTCTGTGAAGTGTGACCAAAGTGTAAGTAGGAGTAGCAAGATATCCCTGTTATCTTAGCGTGTTTATGAGACAGAAAAAGAAACCAGCAATCCTACCATCATGCAAAACAGTTACAGGTTTTTGTTTCACAGTCATCTGGCACTTATACGTATTAAAAATCACTAGAAAAAAATAAAGTTTAATAACTTAATACAGTACTTTATTCAGCTCATGATAATGTCAAAGCTCATCCTTCACAAAAGAAGCCTAAATCAGAGCTCACAGTATCTTCTTTACAAAACTTGTTACATTTAAAATAAAGTGAAATTTCATTTTGCATATACAGTATGTATGCAATAGATGCTCTCCAGTGAATAACATGAAATAGCATAAATCAAACCCAATTTAACATACTATTATCACATTCATGTGGGGAGCACTAAACTCATAAGGGTCATAAAGCACCTGGGGGAATGGGAGGTAATCAGGTTCAATCGAAGGAAGGGTAGTTCAGGTTCAATTCCTTTGATCAAGAGCCCCTCACCAACATCAAGGAACCTCTCTTGAGCAGATTTAACATAATAAACTTAGGGATACATTCAAGGACCTTAAGCAACAACTCGCAAAACAAGAACATTACTTAACAATGAAGACTTTTTTGTTGCTGAAAGTGTGTTTGCATTTGTGGGAATCCTCAGTGCCATAGATGTAACTTTGTTCCAGTTTATATTATGAATTTAACAAACTACAGTATATATTAAATTTTACCATATCCCAAGGGTAACAAATGCTGAGCGACTAGGAAGTTTTTATATGCATTAACATATATGTACAGTTACTCTTGTCCTTGTGGCTGCTGATATGCAGCTTCTTGTAAACTGGCACCTAAGATTTCTGGGTCATAAGAAACAGCTGAAAGAAAAACTTGGGGCTGTAAACTGGATGAGCGAGAAGTGTTGCCTGTCCTAGTGCTTATTAAATGCTCTTGGTGTTGAGATTGCTCTACTGTTACAGTATGGAGCTGCTGAGTATTTTGCAAGTGGTGTGCATGCTGCTGTGGTGAAGATATTCCACTGAGATATCCATCACTCCCACATGCCTGCTGATTAAGGTTAGTGCTCATTTGTGAGGAACTCTGAGCCTGTTGAAACAGTGATGGCTTCTTCTCAGATATAAAGCAAGCGGCTTCTGACTGCCGGAGTGTGACCAGACCTTGATTCATCTGACTACCTGTGGTATCCCTACTAGAGTCCTTGCTCTGAGTTGCAGGGAGAGACTGATTGCTATTCTGTTGGTGGAATGTTGAATGTGTATGAGTAGCAAGATGACGAGACAAATGTGCTTCCTGTACAAACAGTTTGTTGCACACGTGACACCTGTGTGATGTGGACAAGGGTGACTGCTGGTGTTGACTCTGATGAGCTGTTAATTGCTGATGGTTAATGAAGTCCTGGCCACATACATTGCACTTGAGGGAATTTTGACGTTCATGACTCTGGAAGAAAAATTTAGGTTTCATAAGAATTTCCTTGGAAGAGAGATATGATGAACAAAAAAAAATATCTACATCTGGATGATATCAACAAACTGACACAATCTAGAGAAAACCTACTCCTAGGTTTACACCTGAACAATGAACTGAAATTCAATACTGTACTCATATGAACACATTTCCAAAAAAAGTATAAAAAACTGCAGGTATATTCTGAATCATTTATTATGTATAGTCCTTAGGTCTGCACTGCTTACACTATACTACAGTGCTGTATGACCCTTGTGGGTTTAGTGCATGGTTATGATTATAATATGGTTATAATTATACTATACTACTCCACCCACCCATATCTTTCATATATCTGTGCATGCAGATCAATAACTGCAAATGATCCTAAACCAATAGTAAAAGTCAGTCATCAGAATCACATAGGACACACATTTTAGACAACTCAAACCACCTTTATGAGAAGCGTTAAACTTACTAAACATACAAGCCACTCGTACATGCTATTACTCTATATCTTCAGGAAAATGAACCACAATATCAATACAGAATTTAGATTATTCTTAGAGAACAGCAACAGAACACATGGGCACTGAATGAGAATTAAATACCAATCAAATATTCCACATGTATAAACTAATGTAGAAGTACTATGCACATAAATGGGTCCAAAGTCTGGAATGGCTTCCCAATACAGTTATGCGTCGCTTAACGGGGATACATTCTGAGAAATGCGTCGTTAGGCAATCTGGTCAGTGTGCAAATGTCATAGAGTGTACCTACACAAACCTAGATGGTATAGCCTACTACACGCCTAGGCTCTATATATGGTTTGTTTGTTTTTTCATCATAGATTTGCTTGTAAGTAGATAATACACCATGAACATTCCTCTCTATTAATGAAACCTTTTGGTATTGGGGTCCATGTATGCTGGTGTAATACAGAATACTGTTTTAAAGTAGAAAGAGTGCACTCTAAGAGTACACTAAAGTAGAAGGAGTACACTCGATTTAGGGTTCTGTGTGACTATATTAAGGAAAGTGAAGTTAACAATGGCTTCTAAAGCAAGTGTTGGTATCAAGAGGAAACTTGTGGTTCTTAAGGTTAAGCAGAAACCTGGTGTCTCAGTGGCACATCTCAGCCATCTGCATTATTTTAACAAGTAGAGCTTTACAGATCCTCTGACTTAGAATAAAAGATACAGTGTCTCCACTATCAATCATGGCAGTTTACACCTCGTTTCTCCACCATGAAAAGGTAAGAAAAATTACTGTAAATTATGTATGATACAGTACTATAAAATTACAATACAGTACAGTACTGTACTGTAGTACTTCAGGTTACAATACCTGTATTCCTAATGTCTGGTTGTTTTCTGGACCAGAGGACGAAGTCCACTTGTTCAGAAGACAACTGGATGATCATGAAAAATTAATTCCATAATCTGGAAGTTTCAGACAACTGGCAATATCATACACCCTCCCTCTTCCCATTAGTCCATTAATTATAGGGCTCGCTGTATTACTTTTCCGACTCCTATTAACTATCTTCATAGCGAGGGAAAATGACAAGAATGCATATACCTAAGACACATTTACTGAAAATATTTTGATCACTTCAATACATTTGAAGCGCATGCATTGGTGTCCATTTCCCTCAAGTTGTTGACAGTCATTTGCCTTCTCACTATGTAAACTGTATACACAGTATAGAATTAGGCTTCATTCTCCATTTCTAACATGGTTATCATCAACCTCATCAAGATTTTTTTTAGTATTAGCTTGATAATTTCTTAAGTTCAAGTGCCTTTTATTCACATTTTTTTATATACTAGTCTATTTATTTTGTTTACTGTATCAGTACCACTTGAATTACTGTAATTTATATACACGTACGTGTGTGTGTGTTACCTAATTGTGGTTGCAGGGATTGATTCATAGCTCCTGGCCCTGCCTCTTCACTTGTACTCACCCCTTTATGGATGTAGGGGTCAAGTCACAGCTCCTGGCCCTGCCTCTTCACTGATCACTACAAGGTCCTCTCTCTCCCTGCTCCATGAGCCTTATCAAACCTCATCTTAAAGCTATGTATGGTTCCTGCCTTCACTACATCATTTTCCAGACTGTTCCACTTCCTGACAACTCTATGACTGAAGAAATACTTCCTAACATCCCTTTGACTCATCTGAGTCTTCAACTTCCAATTTTTTTTTTTTTTGTGTGTGTACACTCACCTAGTTGTGGTTGCAGGGATCGAGACTCAGCTCCTGGCCTGGCCTCTTCACTGATCGCTACTAGGTCCTCTCCCTCTCTGCTTCCTGAGCTTTGTCAGACCTCTTCTTAAAACTATGTATGGTTCCTGCCTCCACTACTTCACTTGCTAGGCTATTCCACTTCCTGACGACTCTACGACTACAGAAATACTTCCTAACATCCCTGTGACTCATCTGAGTCTTCAGCTTCCAGCTGTGACCCCTTGTTTCTGTGTCCCCTCTCTGGAACATCCTATCTCTGTCCACCTTGTCTATTCCCCGCAGTATCTTGTATGTCGTTATCATGTCTCCCCTGACCCTTCTGTCCTCCAGTGTCGTCAGTCTGATTTCCCTCAACCTTTCCTCGTACGGCATTCCCCTGAGCTCTGGGACTAGCCTTGTTGCAATCCTTTGTACTTTCTCTAACTTCTTGATGTGCTTGACCAGGTGTGGGTTCCAGACTGGTGCTGCATATTCCAGTACGAGCCTAACATACACAGTGTACAGTGTCTTGAACGATTCCTTATTAAGGTATCGGAACGCTATTCTCAGGTTTGCCAGGTGCCCGTATGCTGCAGCAGTTATTTGGTTGATGTGTGCCTCCAGTGACGTGCTCGGTGTTATGGTCACCCCAAGGTCTTTCTCCTGAGTGAGGTCTGTAGTCTTTGTCCACCTAGCCTATACTCTGTCTGTGGTCTTCTTTGCCCCTCCCCAATCTTCATGACTTTGCATTTGGCAGGGGTGGGTGGGTATTGCATTATGAATGTGCACTGTGTGGAAAATATTTTAATCTTCTGCAGCTATAGTGCCTAATAGGTGTTTTAATGTGTCGATATGGGTCAAAAATGTATTTGAAAATGGAATAGAACCAACAGGGAAGCTCTGCGCCTGCGCTGATGGGCAGGGGAGAGGTCGAGATGGGGCATCAGGGAGCGGGAGTGTTTGGAATGGAGTTAAGAGGCTGGGAAAACATGGGACCAGGAATTTGGCATTCACGGCGGCCTAAGGATTAATATAGGCCTCACTTCATAATAGGAAGTGTCGTAACTGTTTCTGGTGAAGAGTGAGGGAACATAATTTACGGGACCACCGTAATAAAGTGGCAAAATTAGTGAATAATGGTAGGACCGGTGGTGACTGGCGCGTCGCCATGGAGTGTGTCCCGGGGAAAAATACCCGTGATTTAATCATCACTCATCGGTCTCAGATCTTAAGGGAGTGGCCTCCAATGTGTATAATAATTATGAGACATTAAACCGTATGGTGGGCTAAGAAGTAATCAGTGATAATAACACCAAGAGAATGTATGAAGTGAAATGAGTCGCCGTTCTCAGAGTGAGCATCTGTTTACCTCGTGTTCCTGTCCCGAAGTTTTTATGGAGTCACGACTTCTAAACCAGGACAAACCAATGGATACCTCGTCCTGCTGGAATAAGAACCGTGTCGGTGTAGCAGGACATCGAAATGAGATGGTGAATGGAGGAAATAAGGAGCATCAATGACCCACAGTTAAGTAACCCTTCTAGTTATAGCAGACTGATACTGGCCAGTTAGGTATGTTGTAATTGGATAGATTGTGGGTGATCCAGCTACATCAAGTGACCACCAGAGAATATCTGGTAAGTGGTGGGATTATGTACAAGTGTTTTTCCTTGATGGATATATCCATGTGTAACCTACCCCCCCCCCTTCATTCAGTTAAACTAATATAATCTATACAGTCCACAATTAATTAGTAGCGCCGTACTTGTGGGTGCTATCCAATTTATACTAGTCTCGGATAGATATGGATAAGATTGTGAGGTCGAAGGGACCACCTGCAGTGACCAGGGGTGGTTAAGTTTTTTCACATGTCTACACGGGGTGACTACGGTAAACAACATGGTTGTTGTCTCCCAATGAGATTACTCGTATGCATGTAATGTTGAGGTACATACAGGTAACCCCTATAAAATTTTCTATATACTGTATGTAAAATTTAATCAAATGTCCAATGTTATTATTAGTTTTACAGAACTAAATGTGCTTGGGTTACTGCAAGATATGAGAAAGATATCTACACCCCTCTACCTCAATTCTCACAAAAGAAATAGTACAGAGTGAAGCATAAATTTCTAATGCAATAAAATATCAAGAGCTGATGATCTGAAGTCAATCAAGAAGAAGTATTCACAAGTTTTCCCAGAAAATGAACGATCCAAGTTCTTCAATAACTGGAAAATTGATGCCTACACAGCCCAATACCAATCTGAATCTTCCACTGAATAAGATATACTAGCTTAAAACGATTATAGTTAATCAGAAGAAGTGTTCTTTTGCTATCACAAAATACACCAGTACTTTAAAGTTGAAACCACAAAAGTTGCATTCTCAAATTCAGGTGAAGCATATGCAAGATATTTCATGATAAATAAAAAAAGACTGTCCCAACCTCAAGGCTTGGATGTAGCAGTTTGAAGCCACTCAGAAGTGGCTTTCTAAACTTATCATACAAAACCCAAAATCAAGAATTGTTTATATAAAATTTACTAGAGAGCTTTTGCACATGCCAATAGTTGTATGAAAAATTTTCAAGTTACAGTACACCAGTGTTGAAAATTCAAAGCCAATTTGACAAGGTGTTATCAAAGTACATATAAACGAACACCATGGAAAGAGAAAAAACTGTTAATCACTTAACCCTTAAACGGTCCAAACGTATATATATATGTTCACTCGCGTAGCGCCCCAAATTTTTTGAGAAAAAAAAAATAGTTTTTTTTAATAGGAAAAAAGAGCATATGGTACCCAGGCATCCCCAATTATTTTAATATGGCACACAGTGAGTGTGCACACCCATTCTCTCATCTCTAGGTGACTCAGGCTTATCATGACAATGTTGAATGAATGACAAAGAAAACGTATACATGTGTATACGTGTGGGGTGCTACGCGAGAGAACGTATATATATGTTTGGACCATTTAGGGGTTAAAGATATCTCTTCAGGGTTATTCAAGGTTACCTAATTTTGGGCATTACCATATAAAAAATAAACAAGCTGTTAACCTATCCTCGCAACACAAATGCACCTTCTTGAAAATAATTATTACTGTATTATTATTATTATTATTTCTTCTTTCAACACACCGGCCGTATGCCACCGAGGCGGGGCGGCCCAAAAGGAAAAACCAAAGTTTCTCCTTTTACATTTAGTAATATATACAGGAGAAGGGGTTACTAACCCCATGCTCCTGGCATTTTAGTTGCCTCTTACAACACGCATGGCTTACGGAAGAAGAATTCTGTTCCGCTTCCCCATGGAGGATTATTATTATTATTATTGCATACAATGATATTTACAGTACGTATATGTTAAACAGTACAGTGGACTAGTAAGCTGCTGAACCGGAAAATGCTAGCCTCCATTGCTCCTCAGATGATTCCCATGAAAAGTTCATAATAATCTCGCACATCCTGTAAACATTTGAAGGTGTAAGTGACAGGCCTCCAGACTTCAAAGAAGCACCATTCCACCATTTTCAGTTTCTGCTCTTGAGGGCAGATTGAAGGAGACCCATTGTTGACAATGTAATCATCCAGAAAGGTCAAGAAGAACTCCAAAAGAACACATTGTTTGTCAGGCACAGTGCAATCCACATCCAAAACAGGGTGGTGGCTATTAAGATTGCCCTTGAGCAAGGGGCTTGGTAGACCACAGATTAGGTCATTTAGAGAGAAGTGAAAGGCCCCAATCTGGAGGCAGATACAAGAAGCACAATGCCAAGTCTCTGAGCAAGCTCTCCCAATAATGGCCACAGGCATCTGAGTGGCAAATAGTAGCATGAACCCATTTCTTGGCAACCCTACCAGGAAAGAAAGGGGTGGTGTAACCATAAAATTTAAAATCAGAGCCCAGGGATAGCCTAGTACCCCTGATTTCTTTCAAGCAAAAAACTGATACACTTGTTTGAAGAGCATAACCTGCAAATCATTTTGGTGCAGGGGTGAAGGCACCAACAGTTCCGCTTAAAGATAAAAAATGGAGCAATCAAAGATATCTGTCCATCTTCCCAGAGACATTCAACAAAGGAATGTGTCCTGGGAAGTTGATATTCTTTACCCCCACTGCCTAACCAGACAAAAGAGGCAGTCTGTGCTGTGGATCTCCTGGTTACTTTTCCAGAACTGAAGTTGTTTAACAGTTTTAAGGCTTCTGGGGAGTGATCTTACTTTTTTTCTTAGAATGAGTCCATCTTTGAGGCATGGGAATCATGCCTTTTAGAATGACCCTCCACTGACTGCTTCCTGTAGGGGACTCCATAGTACTGCCCTTTGTAGGAAGTGCCAGACTTGAACTCTTCACTAGGAGTGCTTAAATTTTAGGATACCACTAACTCCCCAATACACCTTACTGAAAGGGCAGTCAGGTGGATGGGGAGATGGCTTGGTTCCTTTCACAAAGGATGAGGGCAATTTTTACTTTGAGAAAACCATTGACATCCTTTCCTCATCTGGAACTGTTGCCTGAAACCAATTTGTAACAGGAACTGAGGAGGAAAAAACACTTTCTGCAACTAGAAGGTGGCTTCTATGGAGGAAAGGAGCTAGTGGCCACCTATGTTACCACTGGGGCCACAGGAGCTAACTGCATTTGAAATTAAGCAGTATTGCAAGGATTGTTTCCTACCACTGAGCCAATGAAAATTTCAATGCACATCTCTATTATTATTATTATAATTATTATTATTATAGCATCTTCAAATGTTGTAAAGCCACAACCAAAAGTTTATCATACCAGGAGCCTGATACCTGGCCAATCCCAACCAAAAACATCAAAATGTCTTCGTCCCATGAGATGCCATGAAAGTAGATCGAACCTAGCACCAGGTCACTGGCTATACATTACTAACCAAGGAAAATGCCGCAGGCTCACCCGTTCCAGCTTTCTGAACCAGAGATAGCTTCTTCCCATTTTCCATGTCTTTTTCTGAGGAAAAGCTGTCAGAAGAGTCACATCTGGTAGGAAACAAAGAGAGGTCAGTGTTGTGACTGACATCATGAAAGAGGAAGAGAGAAGAGACAAGGAGAACCAGAGTAATAGTGTAGTAAGGGGTAAAAAAATATATATTGAGCTGATTAACTGAAAGAAATCACTACCATGTCAATAGCTCCTATTTCACAGTGAGCATTACCAGCAGTGCTTACCTCACTTGTGAACAACACCAGGATGGTTCACCTAGAATAAACAAAGCAAGGTACAGAAAAACTGCCCATTCATGCTGGGAGCCTCAGCTTAGTAATGGGCGAGGGTAAACTGATAATATGCAAGAATTAAACACCTTCATCTCCAAATGACTCAGCAAGCAACCTCCAGTAGTATATCTACTGTCAGATGGTCTAATTTTCTTACAGTGTTGTGGCAACCAGAAATTAGTGGGAAAGAATAGAAAGCAACAGACAGTGACTTTTAATCCCATAGAACAAAATTTTGCAAATGGAGACAAATTCTTGTTGTTTATGTCAAATAAGAGGAGAGGTAGGTTGGTAGCAGCAACCACCCAGGGAGGTACTACCATCCTGCCAAGTGAGTGTAAAACAGACTGTAATTGTTTTACATGATGGTAGGATTGCTGGTGTCTTTTTCTTCCTCATAAACATGCAAGATTTCAGGTATGTCTTGCTACTTCTACTTACACTTGGGTCACACCACATATGCATATACAAGCATATATATATATATATACACACACACCCCTCTGGGTTTTCATCTCTTTTCTTACTAGTTTTTGTTCCTGTTTATTTCCTCTTATCTCCATGGGGAAGTGGGACAGAATTCTTCCTCCGTAAGCCATGTGTGTCATAAGAGGTGACTAAAATGCCGGGACCAAGGAGCTAGTAACCCCTTCTCCTGTATATGTTACTAAATTTATAAAGAGAAACTTTCGTTTTTATTTTTGGGCCACCCTGCTTTGGTGGTATACCACCAGTGCACTGAAAGAAAAAGAAGAGGAGAGAGTTGCTGGGTGGTTAGTCAGATCACTCTGACCATTTACGAGGTATTATCATACAGTTCCTGAACTGCCATGAAAAAATATGTAGACTTACATAATCACAAAGTTGAAGTTATTGCCCTTAAAGACTTTCCTAGTGAGGCTGTACACTGATCCCAGCACCTCTGCCACTTTTCAAAACATTCCTAGAACTCTTCTTTCCTAATGACAATTAGAGTGCCCTACAATTCTGCATGAATCTCCTCCACATTGTTAAAATGCATCCCCTTGAGTGCCATTTTCCTTGAGTATGGGGCACAAATTTTGCAGCCACTCACTTTATACTCAAATTTTCAGTTAAAATGTTTTGACATGACCCATAAGAAATTACCATAGCACTGGCAATGTCTTGGATACACTGACAACACTCTCTGTGAATAGGTTTCCTCACTTTTTTAATGTTGGTGTCTGTTTTTTATGTTGATGGACAACCAAAGTGTTCATCATGCTCAACTGATATTCATTCTGCTTTGAATCAAGAAAACCATTCATAACATTGTGTCTGACTTACTGCTTAGTTGCCAAATGTTTGATGAAGCATTTTGTGAGTTTCACTAGTCATTTTACCAAGCTTGAAATAAAATTTCACACACACACACATGCTGTTCTTTTTGTTAAAGATTCTATTCTGTTACAAAAAAAATTTGCAACAACTCACTGACAACACAACAGAATATGCCCATCTAACCTCAATAGAATGACTGACTGGACTGAAACTTGCCTATACATATTAGTAACTAGTTTTAATCAGAATTACTGTACATACAGCAATATGCCTCTTCAGAAGACTGGGGGTAGCAAATTTCTTGTTGCAGACATGACATGTTGGAAGCATAGGATTCTTGCCAGAGCCTTCATGCAGTCGCTGATGGCGCCCCATTGAATCCTGTGAGGAAATACAAACATATACTTCATCAATGAAGTTTGAAAATATTTTTATCTGCCTTTAAATTATGAAGGAGAAGTAAAGTGTTAAGAGTGTGGGTTAAGGAACATAATAGTCTTAGAGACTTTTGTCAATGTGTGTTGGATTTGGGCATTAAATTTCAGTTTGTCTACCATTAGACCTAGGATTTTTCCCTCTTCTTTTTCTTGTGCTGTTTGAGTACCACTGATTCTAATATCTAAATGTGGACGTGGTTTATTTCCAAAAGATATAAAGAATGCTTTTTTCAGTATTAAGGGTGAATTTGCTGGTAATCATCCATGTGTGAGCCTTTTTTAAACTCATTATTTACTATGGTGTTTATAGACAATGGGTTCAAACCTGATATTAAAAAGTTGTGTCATCAGCAAAGGGTACAAATTTCAGGTGCTGTGTGGCATTAAGTAGGTCACTGCTATACATGATAAGACAACATACTAGAATGCTATTTTGGGGACACAGGTTTATGGGTATTGTACTAAACAAAGTGTCATTTATAGCTATAAGATAAGATAAGATTTCGTTCGGATTTTTAACCCCGGAGGGTTAGCCACCCAGGATAACCCAAGAAAGTCAGTGCGTCATCGAGGACTGTTGTGTTGTGTTGTGTTACTGAGGTAGGATTAGAGAGTACTGTGGTCATTGATATAAAAAGCCTTTCACAGATCAATGATGAGTCCAATAGGATACTCATCTGTCTCCAATCTTATTACTGCATCATTAGTACTTTTTTTTCTGTCCGAACCTAAATTGACAAGGAATAAGTACATATGTTGTGTTTGGGCAGGTAAATGTATAGTAGTTGCTTGTGAATTAATTTTTCAAATATTTTGGATATTACTGAAAGGTTGAAGATTGGTCTGTAATTATTAACATCAGTTGAATCACCATCTTTGTGATGGCTGGGAATTTTCCTGGCTCTCTTGACAGTATCTGGAAAGATTTGTTTCTTAACCCTTTCAGGATACCCTCTCCTAAACTTGTTCTCAGGGTCAAAAGTTTTTGAAAAAAATAAAAATGATGTTTGCTTATGAAATGATAGAGAATCTTTTCCCAATCATAATGACACCAAAAGTATGAAATTTGATGGAAAAATTACAGAATTATGCTCTCGCAAAGTTAGCACTCTTGACGATGTTTATGCATCGGCGATTTCGCCGACATTGAGCCCTACTTTCGGCCAATTCCAATGCTCCAGTCAACAAAACTCATGGCTATTTCGTTAGAACTCCATTTGTTCTATCAAATGAGTACAAGAAACCAGCCAATTACCGATTTCAACTATCCAATAAAGTGGTTAGAAACTGGCAATTTTGCCAATTTCACACAAATTTCAAAAGATGCCAATTTCAAAATAGGGTCTAGAATAAACAAGACAGACATTCCTGGCACTAAAATAACATTTTCTCTGTTCATTAGTCAAATCCCCAGGCCCCTCTTACATTTCTTTTGCTTTCCACTTTGAACTTTTATTCTCACAAAAAAATAGAAGAGTTACTGTTATGCAGACTACTGCATTAGTGTGAAAGAATATTAGACCCACCAATTGACGTGTATTGGATGCGTGGCATGATTTGTTTACTTTTGAACATCGACAAAAATTGAACGTTTCTGGTACTTTGAGCTCAATTTCAAGGTACTTTTCATTGTGAAACCAATCAATATCATCTCAATTTCTGTAATATGTCTTTCATTCTATAAAATGACACCAAGAAAACGAGAATATGACCATAAATACCATACGAAAATACACTGCAAAGTCACTGTTTTAAACAAAACACATGGTTGGAGATTTTTTTTCATGTACTTTGTGCTACAGGATTTTTTTATACTGTGCACACTGACCATGCAGACCCATTCTTTCATATGAAGGCCTACCAGCTTTCTCTCGCTAGATTTGAAAGCACTAGAATTTACGTGTACTAGTACGGCACCAACCCTGGCGTGCAAGCTGTACTAGTATGACACCGACCCTAAAAGCTTTAAATGATTTGTTGAAAAGTACAGTGGTACCTCAGGATACAAACTTGAACATTTATGTAAGTGTATTTTTGTAAGTGCTTTTGTAAGTGTATTTTTGGGGGTCTGAAATGGATTAATCTACTTTACATTATTCCTTATGGGAACAAATTCGTTTGATACTCGAGCAGATTGGCACTCGAACAGCCTTCTGGAACGAATTAGGTTAGTATCCCGAGGTACCACTATATTACAATAGTTGGAGATATGGTAGTACTTGTACAACTTTTTTATTGTAGTTTGTGGGCACCTCATTTGCCTTACTACTAACAGTATTTTTAAGTGATTTTATTGTTGAAGCTATTTCTGCATAGGTAGGAGTCAAGTAGAAAGAATTAGAATAATTTCATGTCAGATAGCTAGTGATGTTGGCTTAAGCTTCAGGAATGCAAAATTAGTTCTACTCAAAATCCCTTACATCTGTACTGACACTTAAGCACCATTTAATAATCTGCAGATTCATTTGAACTTTACTCTCCTATTCAATGAATACAATACAGTCTTTTCCATTCTTAAGACTTTCTGAACTTTATTAGTGATTCTGATTATTATTTTTTATTTCCTGCAGCTTCTCTGGTATAATTTGCATATGTATCTAATCCTGTCTTCCTGAAACATTTTCTTTTTCCTTGCAAACACTTGGTAACCCTTTAACTCACATGACAACCAGACTAGAATGTGGAACTCATTGGTAAGAATTTAAAATTTCTACTTTAAGAATTAGGACTTGTAAAATATCTGGAAGAATGCTATGCGAAGCCATCATCTCCATGCCACAAGGCCTTAGTAAGACATCAATTCTCAACTCACAAGATCTGAAAGCTGTGGTCACCTATGAAAAGAAAACCACTAAGAAAATAATGAACACATTACATTCACTTCCTCCATGCTCCCTCCC